GGTGGCTCAGCTGGTAAAGACTGTGCCTGCAATGCAGGAAACCTAGATTCCATCCCTGGGTTGGGGAGATCCCCTGGAGAAGGGAACAGCTACCCACTCCAGTATTCTGGCCTGGAGAATTTCATAGACTGTATAGTCCATGGGGTCGCAAAGAGTCAGACATGACTGAGCAACTTCCACAAGAGGTGGAGAGTGGTAACCATGCTCATTATGTCTCCTGGTTTTCACATACATTTCCCAAAGACTTATTGAGCATCTATTTTGTACTAGAAATCATTAATATTGCCTCTAAATATTAAGATTTTACCATGATTCTTTTCGTAAAAAATTATGATTCTAACTTTGTAATTCTAAGCTCAATGTAGTAATTGTGACTGCTTCTACCTGTCCAAGGACACTTATGTTAAAAAAAGAGAAGGCCACCAGTTCAAACTTTTCTAGGAAGTCATTTAAAAAGACTAAGAGCCATTCAATTTTTACCCTAATAACTTCTCTAAATTCGTATTTACTTAGGAGGAAATATTAAATATTCAATTCTTTTTACTTAGAACCAGGAGAATATGTAATCAAATTTACTATATGGCTATTTTTTCTTCCTATGCTCAATGCACATATTAGGGATGCCCTTGCAAGTTCAGTAAGTAAGATACGCCCATTCTATAGCATTTGGAGCAAAATTCTACTATTTTTAATGAATACAGAGTTTGAGCTGTTTTATCTTTCTTTCTGAGTCACATTATTAACCAAATGTATAATTTACTCAAATCCTTAGTTAGAAACTATAAAACTGTTTCAATGAGAAAATTCAGTTGACTTCACAATCTGTATTAGTCTGCTTTGTAGCATTATTTCTAAGGACAGTGTAGGAGAAATTCCTGACTAACCACCTAAGTTTAATTCAGGCAAACAAGTATAAAAGAGACAACAATGAACCGTGGAAAGGCCAGGTACATGCAAGTAGCTAATGAGGTCAGGCCAGGTTTAGTGTGTAACTTGGGTATTTCCATGTTATTACCCATTTATTACCCAAACTCATTTAAGTTTATTCTACCCTTCCTATCTTTCCTCCCTCCCTCTCTTTTTTCCCATTTCTTTCTTGTTCTCCCTTTTATCCGGGGAATATCATATTTAAAAGGGTACATAGACATCATCTACCATAACCCCATTAATTTACAAATGGAAAAAACTAAGGTTCAGATAAGGTAAAGAACTTGCCCAAGACCACAAGTCTGATCTTAAAGGTATTTTCTACTAAAAATCCATTTTCTACTATGACTCCCCACCCTGCCGCCTCTTTAGGGATATCCTTTGCAAAAACTTCTAGCACACTGTTCTTAAGCTTTATTCTCTACATAAAATTAGAGAACAACACTATGTAATACAACACAGGCTAGTATTTAGGACAGTATACAGAAAACCACATTATTTTCCCTACTGGAACTTCAGCTCGGAGACTAAATCATTTTTAAAATTACCTTCTCAAAATCTGATTCACTGCTAAATTAGGGGAAACAGAAGATAAGTTTAAATATTGTCAAGGCTGTACATTGTCACCCTGCTAATTTAACTTCTATGCAGAGTACATCATGAGAAATGCTGGGCTGGAAGAAGCACAAGCTGGAGTCAAGATTGCCGGGAGAAATATCAATAACCTTATATATGCAGATGACACCATCCTTATGGCAGAAAGTGAAGAGGAACTAAAAAGCCTCTTGATGAAAGTGAAAGAGGAGAGTGAAAAAACTGGCTTAAAGCTCAACATTCAGAAAACTAAGATCATGGCATCTGGTCCCATCACTTCATGGCAAATAGACAGGGAAACAGTGGAAACACTGACAGACTATTTTTTTGGGCTCCAAGATCACTGCAGATGGTGACTGCAGCCATGAAATTAAAAGACGCTTACTCCTTGGAAAGAAAGTTATGATCAACCTAGACAGCATATTAAAAAGCAGAGACATTACTTTGCTGACAAAGGTCCGTCTAGTCAAGGCTATGGTTTTTCCAGAGGTCAAGTATGGATGTGAGAGTTGGACTGTGAAGAAAGCTGAGCACCGAAGAATTGACGCTTTTGAACTGTGGTGTTGAAGACTCTTGAGAGTCCCTTGGACTGCAAGGAGGTCCAACCAGTCCATCCTAAGAGAGATCAGTCCTGAATATTCATTGGAAGGACTGATGCTGAAGCTGAAATTCCAATACTTTGGCCACCTCATGCAAAGAGTTGACTCACTGGAAAAGACCCTGATGCTGGGAGGGATTGGGGGCAGGAGGAGAAGGGGACGACAGAGGATGACGTGGCTGGATGGCATCACCAACTCGATGGATATGAGTTTGAGTAAACTCCGGGACAGGGAGGCCTGGCGTGCTGCAATTCATGGGGTCGCAAAGAGTTGGACACGACTGAGCATCTGAGCTGAACAGCAGTTAATATTTATTTACTGCTTGTATATACCACGTACATACATCCTTTTTATGTGTACATATCTTCAAATAAGCGTTTTCTCTCTACCCTACCTTCTGACTCTTTCACAACTTTTTCAATTAAATGTAACACAGCAGCAGAAATTAAGTTTTCTTGCCATCTTCCTAAAGTTTTTGGTGGCGGAGTGGTTCTATTTATATCTAGTATGTGAGTGGAAAGTAGATGATCCTATTTATGTCTGGTATGTGAGTGACAATATCACTTTTCCCCTGAAAGTCTAAGGATAGAACTTAACTTCTAGACTATATTTACCTGTGAAAAAATATGGGGGCTATTTTCTATTTCGTAAGTTGATCCTACTCTTAGTTTCACAGACTAAAATTAAATCAGAAAACATTATACCACTTTGACAAATATCTGTTTTATGATTTAACTTTGATTAAGAGCACAGATTGGGAGTAACATGACACTGAGTTTAAATTCTAGTTCTGCCACATACTAGCAGTGAGATCTCTTTTTGAGTCTCTCTGATACTTATGTCTCAGGGTTGCTGTGAGAATCTGATGAAAGAATCTTCCCTTTCCTACTTTCCCATACCCTCATTCTGACTATACAACTTTTACTTTTTCTTTTAGGTTACTCTTAGATGCCGGCACTTTTTCTACATAACCAAAGAATCTCCTCTCTCCATAGGAGAAGTCACTACATTTTCTCTAGCTTTGAGTATGTACCTCACTGTACTCTTGTTGTTGTTTAGTCACTAAGTTGTGTCTGACTCTGCAACCCCCTGGACTGCAACCCATCAGGCTCCTCTGTCCATGGCAAGAATAGGGGAGTGGGCTGCCATTTCCCTCTCCAGTGGATCTACTGGACCCAGGGATACAACCCACATCTCTAGCACTGGCAGGAGGATTCTTTACCGCTGAGCCATCAGGGAAGCTCTATCTCACTGTATAGTTCTTTACAGATCTTTTTCCTTCATCAGATTGTATGTTTCTAGACAGCATGAATCCCAGAACCTTCTAGAATGCATGAAATCTGTTAGAAAGTTGAAAAGGGATGCTGAAGAATGAATCATTGCCTAGATAAGCAAGTACAAAGTAGTGCCTAAAGAGTAATCCAGACTCTTCATTGTCACCTAATGGAATGAAGGAAGCAAAGTGAACCACTGATATTTCTTCTTGATCAACAGGGAATTCATTTCCATGATCAAACTCATCAATGTTACGAAGAACAAGAAACAAGGCAGAAAGGGACTCTGTCCTAGACCATAAAGTACCAGAAGAATGTTCATATTTGCCTTGTCATCTGTATAACCTATAGTCTTCCCTAGTTGTGTGTCCTCTAAAATGGAAATTGTGAAAATGACCAAATAGAATGAATTAAAACTTATTTTTTCTACAAAGAATAAGATATCCAAATTATCTCTTCCAATTAACTTTTCTTCCTTCTCAAAACTGTTTCCCTGCACACCTACATCAGATTAAAAAGATCAAATGACTAATAACCTAGTAAATTTGATTAACTATGAACCAAAGCTTTGCAAATAAAAGTTACCATATTTCTGTACTAAAGCTGTAAAAAAAAAAAAAAAAACTAAACTAAATTCCCAATTCAAGAATTCAATTTCTTTCATGACCTACAAGGGTTAAACTTTATTTAAAGCACCTTATGAAGACACTGGATAGGTCACAAACTGGAACAGAATGCCACAAATGAAAAAAGATTCCTCCAAAATATAAATGGACTTAGAAACATATGCCCCTACTAGAGGAAAAAAGAAATTTAAGGAACCTAAGATTACTGGCAAACTAGAAATGCTATGAGGTATACACCCAGTCTTAGAAGAAAGATATCTTTTCTAGGAAAGATGCCTTTTCTAGAAATAAATACTCTCAGAACAACAACAAGATTATTCGACATTTTTCAATAAAGTCTTACCTGCCTGATCAAATACTTTAATAGGCTATAAAAACTGCTCTGATCTGATTACATTTTCCATGGCTAAAATTACCCTGGGAAAAAAGGTCTTAAGAGCTTCCAAAGCAACTACAGTTATACCGTGGTTAAAGTCAGAGTCAACTGATTAATAACAGCCTTTATACATTTTCAAACTGAAACGTCACTGTCACATTATTTGGAGGCATAGAATTCTTAGGTTTCATTAAGTACTTTTTTAGCACTTCAACAAATACAAAGCTGCCCTGTAAGAAAAATTTTCATTCTCTAGCAAGCACTTCTCCCTATTTTCTAACAGGACAATATCAGTATACACGTTCACCATCAATACTGCCATTAATGCATCGGGTTACTCATGTGTGTGTCTGTGTGTATCTGTGTACGTAGGAAGAAAGATACACACTGTAACGGTGTTTATTTTTAGGAAGAAGGATTAAGAGTGATTTTTTTTTTACAGTTTTCTGAATTAACTGAATTTTTAAAAACATATATATTTTTATGATTAGAAAAAAATTAGCTGCTTCCACTAGGAAATAAATGAGATATAAATTATCAGTTTATAAATAAACCAGAGTTATTAAATCCATCAGTACAGACTCACTATAGCAATCACTCTCACCTGCTTCATTACACAAGGCTTTCAAGTCTGCTCCAACATATCCATGAGCACTATTTGCCAGGTGTAGCAGTTCAGATTCTGTGAGTAAATGAGGTACCCTTCGAAGCAGTTTCTGGAGGATATCCAGCCTGTCTTGAGCATTTGGAACTCCAATCTCAATCTCTTTATCAAACCGTCCAGGTCTTCGGAGTGCAGCATCCAACGCATGAGGGCGATTTGTGGCCCCAAGAACCAACACTTGTCCTTCACTTCCTTCCTAACAAAATAAAATAAAAATATATTACATATTCTTGTGAAATAAAAAAAAAATGCACTTGGTATATAGACAAGGACAGATCTAACTGTTCACACTGCTAAGTCCTATCCCTTTTTGTTCAAATTTCATCATTCATCCCACATTTCCCAAAGCTCAGTCTAAATACCCCTTAGAAAGTTTCCAATACTTAACTCTCCATCTATTGTAAGTGACATCTCTCCCACTTCTGGCATCTTAACCACACAATTCTCATGACTAACAATCTATATAAAAGTTATACCCTATACCATATAGTTTTATTGAACTGTTTTAAATTGTTCTTTTCCCCCACTTGAAAATAAGATTATGACTCACAGTCATTAAAATTATGACCTACATGTGCTTCAAAACGAACAAGGCTCTATTACACAGTTATCTAAGAAATCTTCATACATATGGACTGTTTCTTTTTTGTTTTGATCAATCTTCAAATTCCTAAAACACACACAATATAACCAACACCCAAGTATCAGATACCCTTGAATACATATGGATTTTTACCCCAAGGGTAAAATTTGGAACAATGTGATCACAATAAGCCATCCGCTTATTATCCAACATTCTACTCAGATGACCTAAGTGCAATCTCACAGAGATAAGCTTAACTGAAATGCAACTTGAAGTAAGAAAACTTAAACCTAATTAATTAAACTGGATGTGCCAACAGAAAATGCATGGACTACAATGAATCTATGAATTATGACTTTAGAAGACAAAAATACAGGCCCTTAAACATTTTCAGGCCAAAATATTAGTGTCACATGCTTGTTCCCAGTCTTGCCCAAAGGCAAGAACATCAGTCCACAGCAGGTCTATCCCAGTGGCAGAGAAAGAGATAGCAATGACATAGTAATTAAGATCCTCCAACACAGAGCCTTCTATCAGATTTCTACTCACCAAAATCTACTAATTATAATACATGTCTTTTTAAGGATGATTTTGTTTATAAACAAAGCATTTGGTCAGCTTAACAACTGTACTTACTATAAATGGACAAACTGGTATCCCACTTTATGTATCAATCTCTTGAGAGTATTGTTATTATGGACCTATCCTCAGAGCCTCACTAATAAACTCTCCAATAAACTAACAACACTGACTCCTCCAGCACTGTAGTGTGCGTGTGCTGTGCGCTCAGCTGCAGCCTGCCAGGCTCCTCTGTCCACAGGATTTTTCCTCTGCGTCTCTTGCACTGCAAGCAGATTCATTACCTACTGAGCCACTGGGGAAGCCTCCCAAGCTCTGTAAGCTGAGGTCCAAACCTGGGACATTATAATCACACCCAGATATTTTCCGAAGACTGAGAACCAGGTGGTCATCCAGACTGCCGTAGGCAACAACCCTTCTCTTAGGTTACTCTTGAAATTGTAGCACAGGTAAGCAAATAACAGAAATAATAACCAAAAGTTTGTTATTTTCATATGTTCAGTTTCTACCAATAGGCAGTAAAACCAAAAGGCTCCAACTCGCTAGCTTTTTAATGTGCAAAAGAAAGACATAGGACTCCATAATTTCTAAAATTTCTTTAGGCTCCAACATATTAAGATTCTAAAAACTGAGTTATTTATAATCTTGTGTAAGAAGTGTATTCTTCTGATAAATGCCTGCCAGGAGTCTTCATTCCACTTCCCTATTAGTTCTACTGGTCTTCCTTTCATAATCAGCACATAGTTCTTATTAATATAAGATTGCATGCACTATATACAAAGAATTTGGTAACATGAGTAAACTTTTTTTTAAACGTTGTACAACACATTTCCCATGATTCTCACTTGGCCCTTTCACTTCCAAAACTTAAAGCTCTCCCACCAAACTAATTTTTATAAGAGTTATATGAGACTTACTTATGAAATTTCTTAGTAAATTCCCCTTTAAGTTTAACTGCTAAATTTTCCTTACTGATTTTTACTTCAGGTTTTTAGGTTAATACCATTTATTAGAAAAAGATATTTATCAATGTAAATAATTTTATATGCTAGAAAAACACTGCCAGGTTATACTATCCTTGCTGTTACTAAGAAATCACTGGAGAAAATTATTTTATGGGTCTTGGTCCTCTAGTTCTTAGAGCTAATATTTTTTCCTTTACCCTAGAGAGCCCAAAAAACTCAGACATACTTGATAGTTTTTGCTACTACATACATATTATTAAGAAAATATCCCCTACTAAAGAAATCAATACTGGTGCTATACTTACTGAACCAATACCATCCATCAGTGTTAACAGTGAAGCTACAACTCTTTTTTCCACTTCATTCTGAGCCCCTTCTCTTTTAGGGCAAAGTGCATCCAGCTCATCAATAAAAATAATTGATGGGTGGCTAAAAATAAACAAGTAAAATGAATTCTCTAGTACACATTTAGCTTTTAAATTTTATATGTTGCATTTTAATTAAAAATTGACAGTTTTTTTTATTGAAACACAATGCATCAAATTTAGAATTTAGTATCAAAGACAAAAGCAATAGAAACGTGAAGCTAAAAAGTCTTAGAATAATTCTAGCCTCAATTATTAAGTCACCAATATGACATGCTAGTAGATCTGCCCTCAATAAAAAAGCAGAATACTGAGAACCTGTATGGCTCATGAGATGAGAGTGAATGCTCAGATAGACCTTGCCCACTAAGACCCCTTAAATCGTTATCTCTTGATCAATTCAGAAACTGAGGCCACTGAAGCTATCCCTTGGAGCTGGTTTAAAGTCCAAGGGATAGAAAGTAAGAAATGTTCTTTATTATTTATTCTTTGTTTAAAAGTTCTTTATTATTAACTACAGTCACCATGCTATAGATTACATCTTCATGATTTATAACTGAAAGTTTGTACCTTTTGCTATTATGTAATTTAATAACTTATTTATCTAAAACAGTACTTCTAAAGTTTGTTTCTAAAACAGAATTAGATAGAACTGGATTAGAAACTCATTAAATTTACAATCTACTTCCAGTGCTATTTTTGTTCTATTCTTTCACGTTTCATGTAAAGTGCTACTATCTCTACTTTCATTAATATAGCCTTGACTATATCCAAAAAAATTCCAAACATCCAAAAATAAAGAATACCGCAGAGTGGCTTCAGCAAATATCTGACGTAATCTTGCTTCCGTCTCCCCATAGAATCTGTAAGAAATAAATTACATTTAAGGACCAACTCATCATTTTTAAAATTCTGCCTATAAAAGTTCCTCTGACTTCAAATATTTTCAGAATACTTAAAACTACTTTCAAAAATTATTTTCTAAACTTAAATTTTATACACATTAAAAGCAAATTTAACATTTCAGTGTGTGAAACATTCAGATAGAACACTAAAGAGCCATTTTTTAAAAACTATATTTAAGAAGTATATCTAATAATATTGTTTATTCTATTAAATTATGCACCTACTTGCTTATAATTTCAGGGCCATTAATTACAGAAACATAGGCACCAACTTCATTAGCAACAGCCCTGGCAATCATTGTCTTTCCAGTACCCGGAGGGCCATAGAGTAACACTCCTCTAGGGGGAGGAATTCCTAGATGAAGTAGAGAACACTAGATTCAGCGTTAGTAGGTTTATGGTAAGCATTGTCACATGACTTCAAACACAAGTTATAAAATAAATTTATTTGCATCAAAACTAAAGTAAGAGTCAGAACTTTTCCCCCCCAGACATGCCAACTCTGACTTTTTCTCTCTGTGTAGACCCAACTAGACCAGGCTGGCTAGTAAAAAAGTGGTTGGCTACCCACACTATTGTCATGCCCCAATCCACACAGCATTGTCCAATGACCAGAAAACTAACCCAAATAAGGATATCCAAAAGAAGCCACCAGTCCCAGTTTTCATCCAACTAGTTTCATCCAACATTCAATCCCAAATTTCATCCAATTTGATCTCAGAGAATATAAGCATTACCAGCAAAATGTCAATTCAAGGGTTCATTTGATACATATAAAGATTCATGAAAAAGGAAAAAGCAAAAAAGCCGAGTAAGGCATGGTATGCACCATATATATGCAGAGGATCTGGGCAGTAACCTTTCAGAAGCCCTGAGTTTTCTAAAAGTCAAGTCACTTTCTGCACTTGTTTTAATACAAAGAGATCTGCATTCAGCTACACTGCCTAACAAAGAAGTTTTATCCAAACTATTTAATGTTTGGTTTATTTTTTTAGTCATTACAGCTAATCTAGCATGGTACTTGTTCCAGATCCAATACAAACAACTGTGGAAGTATGCAGTTAAAACAGACAAGACTACGACTGACTCACATACCCTAAAGCAGCAGTCCCCAACCTTTTTGGAACCAGGGACTAGTTTTGTGGAAAATAATTTCTCCACTGACCAGGGGTGCAGGGGTAGGTGGGGGGTGGGGGGGGGAGATTGCAATGGTTTAGGGATGATTCAAGTGTTTTACATTTATCATACACTTTATCTCTATGATTACTACATCAGCTCCACATCAGAGCATTAGGCAGTAGATCTTGAGCACAGAAAAAGGCTCAGTTAAAAGGCATTTCCCAAAGCAACTCACAATTCCTACCACACCTCCCACCCAGGAAAGAAAAACTGGAAGAGAAGGTGAACAATTATTAGTTAAGTGCAATTAGCCAACTGCTTTCTAGTTTAACATTTCTGGGTATAATACACTGAAAAAATCATACCGTAACTCTTGAAAAGCTCAGGCTGTTTGAGAGGTAATTCAATAATTTCTCTAATTTCTTTCAGCTGACTATTTAAGCCACCTATCATGTCATAAGTTACTTTTAATTGGTTGGCTTGATCTTTTGAATTTGTACGGTTCTTTGTAAAATTGACTCTTGTTTTTGAAGAAATAAAATAAAAGGTATCGGTGTTGCTCTGTGCTCCCACGCTGGGTGACTTCAGTAATCTCTCTTCATCAACAGGTTGCTCACTTCCTTCCCTGGCAGACTCAAAACTACATGCAAGCCCTATGACCTCCTCTAATCCAAGTCCACTGCCATTCCCAGGACTCTGTGTACCATCTGACAAAATGCCACCAGCTTTATTCATCATTCTGTCATCTACTGGTCTGTAAGGAGTACTACTTGATGCCGGCCGTCGGGGCACTTCCAGATCTAACTGGCTTAGCTGTAAGGATATATCCAGGGTGCTAGGATCTCGGCTGGACAGCTCGGAGGCCATTCCCCGGGCAGCAGTGTCAGAGTCATTCTGAGCCCTTCTCAACATTGTGCCATCTGCCCCTTTCACTCGCAACACTTGCAGCTTGCATGGTCGTCCATAGAATGTACAATACAGAAAGTTGCCTGGTAAAACCACCTTGCCATCTGGAAAACAATTTATTAAATATATATGTCAGCACAATTTTTCACTCATTTAAAGTTTGAATAGCAATTTAATCTATTAACATAATTATGCTTGAAAAGACTAAATCAAAGATGGAACATAAAATAACTGTTACGAAAAACAGAGGACCTAAAATTCCTCCCCTAAGATACAGCAGTATTTGGAGACCTAAGAAGGAAAAGATGATTCTCTGAAATCCTCTACACTCACTACATGTATGATTCTATCAACTATATCCCCCTATGGCCAGACATTCCATGTTCAACAATGAACCAACCTAAAATGGCAAATCTAAATCAACACTCCAACATTTCTCACTGAAAAGAACAGAGCTCAAGGGTTAAAAGTTTCAGTTCTACCACCAACTGTTCACAGGTTAAGTCATACATTCTCTGCAGGGCTCAACTATCAGTCAATTACACAGCAGTTGAGGTTAATACTGGGGGGCGGGCAGGAGGAAGGAGAGAGAGACTACATCCTTATCTTAAAGGGACATTAATTCATTGGAAAGAATAATCTCTACACTATTTTAAAGAAAAGTATTACGCACACAAGACCTCGAAGACACATTAGTTTATTTGCTGCTACCTTGCTTTTCAAAATTTAGAAAACTATTAAAAATACATCTCACCTAGTTTTCTCAAAATACAACCAGCCAGTTGTTCTTCATTAATATCTGCATTTTTGTCACTGTGAAGGGTGGGAGAAATAAAAATCAGCATTAAGTACACCAGAAACTAAAATGTAATATAAAATGACACGCACACAGTGATAATGCAGACCTAATCACGAAAATCATTAGTTTACAACCTAGAAAAAATTTATACAATTTTAGAATGATTTATACTTTGCAGATACATCTTACAGCCATGAAATCATTTGTAATGTGGTTTCCTAGAAGCCCAAATCAATGTTCTTTACTATCTTACATATCACTCATACACATACCTCCCCCCCAGATATACTGAGGTACACACATGTACAAGTGACTGAGCACACATATACATGTACAAACGTGGTGTACATTTATGCACTACATCTCTGCATGTTGTATATGTACAATAAATTAAAACAAAAAATGTGTTTTTTATTGTGTATCATAGCCAAAAATATTTAAAAAAAAAACCACTAGTCTCAATTAATCATTTTCTTTCTGAACTTGCCCAGCTTGGATAAAGGCTTTTATTAATAGCTTACTTTATTCTCTTTCAATCATTTATAAATTACCTTTAAGGAAATTAAAATCCTATAGAGTACATTATCTGAAGAGCTAAGAAAAAAGCAAGGTAATGGTACAATGGAAGTTTATTCAAGAGAAAGGGCATGCCTAAAAAAATGTAAAAGCCTTCTTCTGACCAATTACAGTGTTTTCCAGGGAGACTGCTTGTTTGATTACAGAAGTATGGCTAAAAATCATTATACTTGTAAAGACACACATCCTTGGAGAGCTCTCAGAACATGCATCTCAGAACGTGCATTTTTCCTCCTCCATGTGTAAGCAATTGGTATCAGGAGAAGCCGCCTATGGCTCTTGAGTTTGACAGAGATCACAGAGGGAGAATGGTTTAGCTCAGGAAAAGGTATATTAGCAAGCCCATGTGGTCCAAATCTAAGCCATGTTCTCAATCACATTATCAGTAACAAAACTGATACAAACTTATTTGAGGATTCCATATGCAAATTCATCTACTTGCTAAAATATGTTTGTAACACCAAAATCAATACTAGTGGGGCTTTCCCAGACATTGTAGAAGAGAACAGAACAGGCAAAAATGTGAGTAACCCAACACTTTCCCAGCTGAGGTTAAAAAAAGCCTCTATTTCAACTCTCATTCAGAGGTGACCAGAGGACAGAAGTTGAGGAGGGAAGGGAGCAGTACAATATACAGCGAAAAGCTGCAGCTCCAGGACCAGGTAGAGGGGGGTTTGAATCCTAACTCTGGCACCTCTTAATGGAGTGACCTCAGGCAAGTCACTAAATACTTCTAAGCCACTTATCTTTTCTAAAATAGAATCTACCAGAATGAGCTGTTCAGGGAGTTATAAGATTATAAGTTATAATCTATGTAAGACATGTATTTTCATATATTTATATATGTTAAATAAACACACACACACCCCCCTTCAAGCAACAGTTCAGTATTTGTGGCAACTTCATGTAACATAACTACCACAAATGATGATTTGATTATTTTATTTATTCAAATAAAAGAGAAAAACAAGGAGAAAATTTCATGAACCAAATGTGTGTATAAAGAGGAAACTGTATTTCCTTAAATACTTAAATTTACTTGTTTATAGAACTCTGAAACTACCTAGACTGTTTTTACTTATTAAACTTTGAATAGAAAATATTTGCAAATATGTGAAATATGTAAAAATAGTTTTGCTTTTAAAAAAAAGAATGTGTGCAGATAAAATCATTTCCACTAGAAGGAGCTCTAACATTAGTAATAAAATTTTTCAGCTAACACCTGAAGGATTTAAGCAGCAGACTAAAACTACTGATTTTTCTTATTGAAAATTAAGTTTCTTGTTTAAGTTCTGCTGCCACATTTAAAACACAAGATTCTATTTTAAAAAAAAAAGCTTCCATTTAATACACATGAAGTCCCTCTATAATAGGTACTCATTATCACCTAAGACTGCTGCGCCCTCAAGAGGTCACACTTGTTAGTAACTGATCTAGTCAACTGATAACTATCTAAAGGACTGTTTTAGAACAGTCTAAAGATTAATCCTATTTAACCTGAGTTAATTAAAAAATCACCATAAAATAATGAGCAACTTACTTCTCACTGAGCCCATTCTCTCACCTGTAAAAATGGATAAACATGGACACCTTGCAGTATGTTTAGAGGATTAAATGAGAGAAGAAAAATGGGAGAAGTGTATGCACTTGTGTCCTAGCACATGGTTGGTGCTCAACATATGTTGTGTTCTCATTTCCTTTCTGCCTTTTACTTTGTTGCTCACTAAACTGTTATAAAATGCACTGAAGATATTTTCCTGTTTTTAAAAAGAAAAATAGGCCAAAGCTTAAGCTTGGAATCTACAAAAGTAGAAAAAGTGAAGAAAACATTTCAAAATCAAGCTAATGATTAAAAAATGTTTTGTGATTCCAGCACATAAAAGCCTCCAAATTTTTATAAACATGCTATCAAAGTATCAAAAGATTTTTTAAAAACAAATTTTGATAAGACTTGTATATGCAAACTGAGTAAAAACCCTACTAGATACAAAACATTCAAGAGGGTGGGTGATATACTTTAACCACATCGATAGTCTTTCATAGGGGACTATTTAAAAATATGATAGATGTAACTATTTTATTGGTTTGAATAACCAGTGAGTTAAAATACACAATCACATACTTTGCTTGAGCAGTCTTAATTAAAACTTGTCTCTTGCCTATTCATAGTAATCTACTACTGTCTTTACAATTGTAAGACAGGAAACCCTGATTATACCACAGATCATGAGAAAAAAACACCATTAACTATCCATCAATAATAACTCCTCTTACCTAAAATGTCAGAGCATACTGTAATCACAGGACATTACAGAGCCTGTGGTCCATAAATGACATAACACCCATCTAGTCTGTGCTGTCTGATACAGTAGGTCACTAGCCACTCAACACTTGTGGCCATCAAGTGCTAAGAACATGGCGAGCCCAAACTGAGATGTGCTACAAAGGTAACATAACACAGTGGATTTTGAAGGCTCAGTTTGAAAAACAGAATGAAAAATCTTGTTAATAATTTTTGTGCTTATTATAAGTTCAAATAAAATTTTATATATTGACTAAATAAAATATACAATTACTTTCTCTTTCTCTTCACTTTTTAAATGTGGCTACTAGAAAATGCAGAATTACACATGTGGTTCACATTTGTGACTCATCTTATTTCTACTGGGCAGCACTAATCCAGACAATCACCACCACTAAGAGCCAAACCTGAGAGCCACGTCCATTTCCTCAGCCTGCAGCACAGCACCCAAAACAGGCTGGACATGGATGGCATCACCAACCCTCACTCCCACGTTCTTCTGTGCCACTTCACTCAGGCCAACCTTGCCTCCAGGAAATCCTGCCACAGGCCAGGCCGTATAGACCTGCCCAGAACAGAGGAAACAAAAAAATAAGAAAATACTTATTTGTAAAATATCATTAATTTATAGGAAAGAAAACTAAGCACAGTCAAGTACATGGCTGTGCAAAACACAAGTCTTTGCCCCAAAGGAGATACTATGAGATACAAACTACAAAGAACTATTGAATTTGAGCAAGCTCTGGGAGTTAGTAAGGACAGGGAAGCCTGGCATCCTGTAGTCCATTGGGTCACAAAGAGTCAGACATGACTGTACGACTGAACTGAACTGATAAATATTACACCTTTTTTTTTGTGAAAATTAGGGGTAATCCCACAGGGAAAATGGTGGAAGAACTGAGAGTTGGTTTTAGGAAAAGAGATAAGACCTTAACAAGTGATAAGAGGAAGATAAGAAAAAAACTGAAGGCAAGCTAACTGTAAGGTAATTCAATCTAGAGCATAAACTACATCTAGGAAACAGGGATGGACCAGCACAAGAGCTCCATGGGAACCTGGATCTCATCAGACTTATGTTCTAAGGGAGAAGGTTTCTAGCTCCAGATTAGTGGGCTGAGCTTATGCATTTATAGTCTTCTCTTCCACAAAACACACTAAGGATTTTTTACAGTAAAAGTCCAGGACAACAAAAGGAATGGAAGACATGCCATCAGCAGGTACGAGATTACAAAATATTTCCAAGGGACCCCACCGGTGGGGAGAACACTGACTGATGAAGCAGCAGCAGAAGACATGTCAGAGGCAGAAGAAGAAAGCCAAGCTGCCAAAAATGACTCAAGAAAGATCCTGGACTTTTAAAAGAGTCTCAGGTATGATGAATCGCTGCCAGGACAAACGGAGGGTGATCAAATATTTATATACAAAACAAATGACCCAAAATAACATTTCTGTGAGGAAATACAACTCACAGACAGCAAAATATAGGGCTGTTAGTGTGTCACTATTGCTGGGGGAAAGGTTTCTCCACATCACGACACTCAGGAGCTACAACTCCCAGCGTATCACAGGAAGGAGTTTAGACAGATGTGAGGGTCTTGTAAGATACAGCTTTTCAATTATCACTGCTTGTGTTGAAAATAAAAAACATCTCAAATATTTCTAAATTAAGGAAATGAAAAGGACTCTTACCTCCTGCTTTCCATTCAAACTGGTAAGCAACACTGGTCGACCGATACAAATATTTGCAGACTTCATGGTACTGAGTCCAAGTTGAACAAGAGAATTCTGGAATGCTTTAGGAACTTTGTCATCTACCAAGAAGAAGAAAATTATTTTCACAGTATTCTGTAACTGAAGTTAAAGCAAGATTTCTTTTGGACTAAATAAAAATCCTTAATCTATATTACCACATGAATGCACTTACCATATCCTGGAGAAACTATTTTTCGAACCCTCTTTATTTTAGCAGACTTAAAACCAAGCCTTTGTGAGGTTCCACTGACAATATGAATGCTAACTAAAAAAGGATATTTTATGGGTAGGTATTAGTTTTCATTGTTTTTTTTAAATCTCTAATTTCATTACTAACTGAACATACTTGCAATAGGGCTTTTCATATTTGCATTCTGAACTTCTCCTATTACAGATTCTAAGTTGATCTGGCTACTAGTACTGAAAGGCTTGAACTGGGGAAATGGCACACAATCTGGCTCTAGAGGATTAAGTTATGTTTCCACTTCTGACCCACAGGACAGCAATCAGACATTTTCCTTTCTATTCCCAAGAACACATGGATAATAATAACACAGGTCTTATTCCTTAGGCAAAGACACGCTGGCTCAAATGACCATTAGTGCTTTCAACTTTTGGCCAGAGAAGGGCCTGAAATTCAGTCCAGTTACAAAACCTCTTAAAATGATGTGCTAACATCTCCACCTCTGCCCACCCACTCCCTCAGGCTGCACATCTGGTTAGCTACCCCTCCTCTCATCTCCCAGCACCTTATATTGTCTGATACTAGCACTTATCATCATAACATTCACTTATTTCACAATTCAACTTTCCTTTAAACTATATACTCCTTTGGGGGCAGGAACTAGGTCATACTCATCTTTGTAAACTCCACTGCCTAGAAGTTCATTAAATACAGAGTTCGTCTGCATGATAAATATCCATGATAAGAATGGATGCAGTAGACAAGTATACAGTATTTTTCTTTTCAGCACAAAATCCATGCTAGCACTTATGATGCCTGTCACAAACTTTATTATAAAACTTACTATAGTCACATATCATAATCAGAGAGCTCTGACTAGTATTCATGTTCCTTCATAATCAGACAAACAGATCTTTTGTAATTAAAAAGAAACTAAGTCAACAAAAGCAAAACCATGAGGTCTGATTTACATCATTTTTTGCCACTGCAAAGTAACTTTCCAACACTTTTATTTTCCCTCTGTCATTAGATGAACACATATAGAAAAAAAAGCATCTCCCAGGGCTAAGATTAACAGGATTGACCATAAAATAAACATTTTTTATAATGAGAGGCTGAAATGAAATTCAACTTTCTTATGAGCCCAGGTTTCTTACACAGTTTACGCATCAATAACAGCAAAGTGTCCTGTTTGATAACCTCGTAATGTTCAGTTTCTGCCAAGTCTCTCTTCCTTAGGAAGGAAATCTCAATGAATTACCCTTCCCTCTTCATAATTACCTTGCAGAGGTACTCAGTCCCTGACAAGATTTTAAGTTTTCTTTCTCTCTTCCCTCCATCCTACCCTGAACCAAGATTTGATAAATCACACACTTCTCAAATACTTCCATTTCTCCCCACCACCAATGGATTCAAATTTCCATCCACTGGCCTTATTTTCTAATACATTTCCATCGTATTCCCTGCTTACAAACTGTTAACCACACAATTCCCTTCACCAGTCCTCATTCCTCCAATTCTTTATATCTCTACATCCACATATCCACTTCCCTAATTTATTGAGCACCTTATGTGCAGATTAACTAATGAGATAGTAAAGGTAATTTCAAACAACTATCTACCCTTCATGTGTTCATTCAGCAAATAGCACGTGCCCACTCTAAGGCAAATACTACAATAGGCACTGGGGATACAAGGTGGACAAAAGCAGACACAGTCTTTGTCATGGAACATAGAACTTAATAGAATGCAAACTATTAAACAATCACTAAATAACTGTGTAATTATAAACTAAGATTAATGCAATGAAATAACAACTAAGAGTGCTAAGAGAGCCTATAATGTGGGATCAGACCTAACTTAAGAGGAATCAAAGAATGTTTTTTTTCAAAGAATAATGTTTAAATCCACCTGAAGGAAGAGTAAAATTAACTAAACGAAGAGGGGAAAACAAAAACAATTTTCACTAAAGAGAACAGCATGTACAGAGATCCTTGACAGAAGAGAGCACTGTGCATCTGAGGGGAAAAGTGTAGACAGAGTGGTGTGAGACAAAAGAGAGCCACATAATGAAGGTCAAGACCACCTGGGGCAGTGGGCTGTATCAAGTTCCTGGTCTTTAATCGGACAGTAACTGGAGGCCAGTTAGCAGAGAAAAGCGGAGTTGTGACAGGATTTTCATAGGACCATTCTGTCTGCAGAGTGGAAAAGGACCTGGAAAAGAGCAATCAGTGCGGTGGTCCAGGTAAGACAGGATGGTGTCTGAGATTAACGCTGAAGCAGTGGGAAGGGAATGCAGAAGTCTAACAGGGGCAACATTTTCGCTAGTAAACTGGACTTGACGGTGGACTGGATAATGTGAGATTTAAGAGGGAGGTGTCATGGGTGAATCTGAGATTTCTGAATTTTACAGTGAGAAAGACTGAACAGAGCTCATTTGTTTTGTTGGACTAAGTACCAGTTCACAAGGTCAGTCCTGACGTATCTTTGAAAAATTCAAAAGAAGAGGTATAGCACAGTGCTATATTCAAAGTGGGGACCACGAATTAAAAAAAAAAAAAAGGAATCCCATTTATCACTGCATCAAATATAATAAAATATCTAGGAATAAATTTAACCAAGGAGGTGAAAGACTTCATAATCTGAAAACTATAAGATTCTGATGAAAGAAATTGAAGACACAAATAAATGGAAAGATACACTGTGCTCATGAATTGGGGAAGAATTAATACTGTTAAAATGTCTATACTACCCAAAGCAACCTACAGATTCAATGCAATCCCTATCAAAATACCAGTGGCATTTTTCACATAAGTAGAACTAATAATCGTAAATTTGAATGGAACCAGAATAGCCAATGCAATCTTGAGAAAGAACAAAGCTGGATTTGATTTCAAATTATAGTAATCAAAACAGTATGACAGTGGTACAAAAATGGATACATAGATCAGTGGAACAGAATAAAAAGCCCAGAAATGAACCCACACATATATAGTAAGTAATCAATGACAAAGGAGGCAAGAATATATAATGCGGAAAAGACAAACTCTTCAGTCATTGGTGTTGGGAAAAATGGACAGCTACATGCAAAAGAAATGAACTGAATCACTTTCTTAAAAAAAAAAAAAAATTCAAGATGGATTAAAGACTTAAATGTAAGAACCAAAACTATAAAACTACTAGAAAAAAACAAATGCAATAAACTCCTTGAAGTTAGTCTTAGTAATATTTTTTGGATCTGTCTCCTGAGGTAAAGGCAACAAAAGCAAAAATAAATGAGATTATATCTAACTAAAAAGCTTTTGCACAATGAAGGAAACCATCAAACAAAACAAAAAGACTGCCTACTGAATGAAAGAAGATATCTGCAAATGACAACTTGATATGGAATTAATATCCAAAATATATAAAGAACATTTATACATATATATTGAAATATTACTCAGCAATTTAAAAAAAGAATGAAATCTTGCCATTTGCAACAACATGGATGGATCTAGAGGATATTGTGCCAAATGAAATAAGTCAGAGAGAGACCAGTATCATATGATTTCACTTACACACGGAATCTAAAAAACAAAAACAGAAACAGAAACCAAATTCATAGATACGAAGAAGTGGGTTTCTGAAATGGGAGAAAGGTGGGGGTGGCTGAAGGGGAATAAGAAGTACAAATTTCCAGTCATAAAGTATTGAATAAATAAGTTACAGAGAATTAACGCACAGCATAAGGAATATAGTCAATAATACTATAATAACTTTGGATAGTGACAGATGGTTACTAGACTTCATCAAGGTGATCGTTTCCCAATGTATTTAAAAGTGAACACGACTTACATCTGAAACTAATATTGTTAATCAACTATATTTCAGTTAAAAAAAAATCGTGGTCCACGAACTCTTTGTTCATGATGAGGTACTTACCTCAGAAAATAGTAGCATTTAGTAGTTTTTATTGTAATTTGACAGAGTAATTTTACATCTGTTGAATTTAATAAAAATTTATTTTTTTAATCTTATTTTTCCATTAATTTACTTTTATTGTATTTTACAAAAGTGCTGATCTGTGACATGTCGGGAATTTTTAAACCTTCCCTACAGAGTGTGAGAAGCACTGGTCTAGAAGACCATTGAATCAAGACTCAGAAACAAATTACAAATATAAATCTAAACATAATAAGTGTGTAAATGGAAAACTCTGGGCACTGGATGAACTTGCCAAAGGAAAAAAAAATTTTTATAGAGAGAAAGAGAGTTTAAGGCTAAGAATAAAGGAACTTCTATATTTGATGGTTAGGTGGAAGAAGGCAGCCTGCAAAGGAAACTGATGAAGTGCCAACCAAAAGAGGGAGACAAACTAGGAGGGTTTGATGACATTTAAGTCAAAAAAATTAAGTATTTCAAGGAAACAGAAACGGCTGGCAATACCAAAAGCTGCTGAGGTAAATAAGCAATGAAAACCATCCACTGGATTTACCAACCCGGGGATAATCAGAGATCAGCGAGAGGGCAGTTTCCATGGAATCCTGGGATGGATGTCAAATACGAATGGCCTAAGGAATAAATGAGAGCTGAGGAGACAGAGATGGCTCCATTTATGAAGTCTGGGAGTGGAGGGTGTGGAGCTTTTAAGATGAAAGAGAGTATCAGCAGGTTTAAATGCCAATGGGAAAAATCCAGTCGAAAAACGGGATTGAATATGCAGGACAGAGCAAGTTGTCCTCTGATCCTAAGACAGACTGAAAACACTATGTCAACTGAAAGACTGTCTTTAGGGTCTGCAACAGACATAAATAAATTTTTGCCACGAGGTCAAGCCTGCTAAAAGCTATACCAATTAAATACGTTCTTCCAAGTCAAGGTTGTTGGGATGTAGCTCAACGGCTTTAGAGTCAAATACATGTGGACTCTAAAAAGTCTCTGCCATTTAGTTAGTACCTGTGTAACCTGAGGGCGAATCGCGTTAATTTTTCTTTCTCTGTAAAATGAGCGTAATAATATAGTACCCATCTCCCAAAACTCTGAGAAGAGTAAATAAGATATATATCTGAAATACCCAACCTACTGCTAACACCCGCGCACAATTAACAGCTCTTTATTAAATACCAGAACCTGTGTGGTAAGGGAAAAAAAGCCACCTTTCGGTTTTAAAGGCACATTAACGTCTCTTAAGAGAGGACGAATCCACACTGTTACACTAATGGATTTCAGAGTTTTCATATACTATCCTCGCTAGATACGATTTTGCAGTTAGAGATGACGTTAATCTTAACGCAAAGCTGCTTCAAGGGCAAATTCAAGGCAATTTTCAAAAAAAGCTTAACTAAGACACAGATAAGTCATTTCTGCCTAACCTCTCCAGTGCAAGGGCGACTTCGGGTATTTTACAGACTACTTTGCGCTCTCACACTTCTGCCTCGCTCAATTTTTAAAAACCTTTACACCTCAAGGCAGAATCGCTAGGTTTTCGGTCCTCTCAGACGGCGCCCCCTCGGCCTCGGGTCTCCCACTCAGAACTCTTTACCCTTTTCTAAGAAGTTAATCACCACCAGAGTCCCGGCCGCCACGGCAGAAGCTGTGGCCCCTGCAAGAAAGGAAGCAGCGGATGCCGAGGAAGAACCATTCTCGGCGCTTTGGTTTAGCCGTTTTCTGTTCTTCTTGGACGACATGATCCGTACGCAGCCTGAGAGAAGCAGCGGTAAAGCCGGCTCAACGTGCGCGCTTCTCTGACAGAAAAACTTCCGGGGCAGAAGCCAGCAGGGCTCCGTCCCGAGCCGTAATCCCCTGAGTGCAGCGCAGTAAGAGCAGAAGAACCGAGCTTCTTCAGAATCCCGTCTTTGAAGAGTTCCTGAATGGCCAAGGAAAACAGATTAGGTGAACGGAACGCTCTTTTCGATTGTAAATTCCTTAAAAACAGGACTTTTTCGTATATCCGCCGCCTTCCCTAATCCTGAACAAATCTCTGTTAAATTAAACTGGGGGTGGGGCGGTGCTGAGGTGGGTTGGAGTGGGAGGGCAGTGGTGGGAAAGTTTCTCCCGCTTTCCTGGAGCTGGGCAGATTCTTGAAAGGAGCCGGTCGACTGGACTTCGCCATCTCCTCTGCGAAGAGGTAACGCCTGCTCAACTCTGAGACTGGCTTGGCGGCACTCTTCTAAAAGTTACGGTAACTCCAACTTTTCCTGATCACGCGGGTTCAGTGATAAGGAGCGTCCACGTGGGGAACGAGGGTCGGCGCCAAAATGCCGCCACTCCTCTGGGGGAGCTACCAGCGCGTGGTGCTGGCTCTGGCCCGCCGCGCGGTGCTCGGCGCAGGGCCCCGCTGGTCCGCGGGCGGTTCGGGTTGCGCTCGGGACCCCCCTTTCGGAGCTGAGGAGCTGCGGGGAGAGCTGGACAGATTTGGAGGCGTCTCCGTGCGCCTGGGGAAGCTGGACGCTCTGGACCGCCTGGACCCGATCGCCTTCCAGAGGGACTTGCAGGGCAAGTGCGCCTGGTGCGAGGCTTTCCGGGCTTCTCAGTGTTTTTCGTGAAGTAACCGCGGTCCCCACCCCTGAGTCGCGCTCGAGGGAACGAGAGGGCAGGCGTGACCCGCACCTGTTTTCTGCCTTTCGTTCTTGTGGCCTTGGCGGGGAGGTCTCTGAGGCGGTTGGGTGAAACGGTAACGAGCTCAGACTCTGGCATCTGCAGCCGTTGTTTCAGGTCTTCTTTCTAGTGTGTAACCTCGAGCCAAGTTGTGTAAACCACCATTTTCTCATCCGTAAAACCAGGTAATAGGAACTGGTGGAATTGCTGAGGGATGAAATGGATAACGCGTATCAAGTGCCTCCAACAGTTTCCGCCACAAACTTACCGCTTAGTAAATGTTATTATTGTTTACTGACATTTACCGACCCTTGGTTCTGCTGGGCACTTTGACCAGGACAAAACTGTCGCATCCTAGTATAGGTGGTAGCCAGTGAATAGGCTGGAGCGGTTTGAGTGGTCGTATTTGTACACAGGTTGGATCAGGAGCTGTGGAGACTGTGAACTAATTTGCGTCTGTTTCACAAAAAGCTGGTTGCTTTTTGTAATTAACCGGGGAGATTGATGGAGTGGTTTCAGTCTTTGGTAGGAAAACTCATCACTTTTGAACCTTGAGTCCACTGATAGGAAAGATAACTTGGATAGAGGAGATCTCACTTTGAGAGCCCGTAGTCTGGTGGAGCAGCCGGTTTTTCAAGCTGCCCAAGGGTCCTTACAATCAAATTGAAAGCAAGGCATGAAAATTCCTCTTCTCTCATTAAGAAGGAAACTTCAGATCTTTATCCTGTGAAGCAATATGGCGAGTGAGCATCTGTGGAAATGTAATTGAACTAGTTGTTTTAATCTTTAACTATCTTCATTTCGAAACTATTTACCCCTTCACCTTATTTTCTCTCCTCCTCGGGAACAATTGTTAACTGCCAACAGGGTTAATGGTAGAAGAATCAAATCTGTGTAATGTGTGTGGGGAGACACAGATGTTTATTGTACACATTTGTTACTTGTTAGTGGTTAAAGCTCTACCTCAATCAGGAAGGCAGAGCAGAAAGTGGGTTGGATTTGGTGTCACATCCAGGTTTCAGTCTTCCCTGTGGCTCAGCTGGTAAAGGACCCACCTGCAACTTGGGAGACCTGGGTTCGATCCCTGGGTTGGGAAGATCCCCTGGAGAAGGGAATGGCTAGCCACTCCAGTATTCTGGCCTGGAGAATTCCATGGACTGTATAGTTCATGGGGTTGCAAAGATTTGGACACGACTGAGTGGCTCTCTCTTTGCCCAGGTTTCAAGTCCCATGTCTGCCACATGCTTAACCAGGCATTAGGATAACCACCACTGAAAATATCTGCCCCTTAGGTTGCTTATGTGAATAATGCCAGCTCTAGTTACTTTATTGGATAGGTGTGGTGATCAAAGATAAATTACATGAGACTAATTTATAAACTCTGAAGTCTTACATTAAATACTTTTTAATAAAATCCTACTACACTCACTAAGGGCTGGATACTGTTTTAAGGACTTCCAAATTATTAACTCATTTAGTCCTTATAACCTATGAGGTAGGTACTATTATTATCCACATTTCAAAGATGATGGTACTGACAGATTAACTTCTCCTGGCTCTAGAATTTGCTCTTGCTGCACTGTAAGAACCATTGCTGGTTTTTTGTTATTGAGTCAAACAAAACTGAATGATGTTGCCTGTAAAAAGAAACTGAAATAAATAATATGAGAAGAAAGCCTGATAGGAATTCTAAATCTATTCTTTCTTTTCAAGCAAATAGCACTGATTGTATATAATGTATTAGCAATAGTTGTTTTGCACCTTTGGACGTGAGGTCTATTCTTTTTACTGTTCCTGTTATAAACTAAACTTAGGTGAAGACGTATTTGTGTTGTTAAGCTTCACAAATATCTGTGTGAGTGGGGAAATAACGCTGATTCTGATCTTTGCTATGGCACTCACTAGCTTTGTGACTTTACACAAGCCAGTCATTTAATAAATGTGAATTGAGCCCAAGCATAAAATCATGTTAACCTGGAGGATTGCAGATGCACAAAATATCGTGTGTGTGCGTGCTCAGTCTTGTCCAACTCTTTGCAACCCCATGGATTGTAGCCCGCCAGGCTCCTCTGTCCACAGAATATTAGGATTAGAAAAATAAATGACAAAAGATGTCATTAGGCATTGTGTAGTAAGTTCTAGTAAATCTATTAGAGGAGTTAAGTTCACATTTGGAAAGCATTTAGGGAAAGCTTATTGCAAAAGAGGTGGTATGTGAGCTCACTTTGAAGGATATATTTGAGCTAAGTAATGAGGGACAGGAGGAAAAATTAAAGTTTATTAGCAAAAAAACAGGGGGAAAAATTTTTTTTTAATGATTCTTAGACTTTAAGCATTGGAGCCAGAAGTATACCGGTAAATAAAAACTACTTGAGGATGGCTATAGGAGTCAGCTTTGAATACGGGTATGAAGTTTAAAGCAGCAGCCTTCAGAATATGAAAGCAGCTGGAGAGCAGCAAAATTCAGTGTTCACTGAGACCAGGACTGGACAAGCATCATTATATAGTTAGCTGAAGCAGTGGGAGTGGACAGATTCTCCAAGTCAGAGTGTGAAGATAAAAAATAGTAAACAAGTGGCTTCAGCTTTTTCAGAACTTTTTTTTCAAAAACTTTCAGAGCTTCAGCTTTTTCCCTTGACTGGAGTGATTGGAAAGGAAGACTTGGGAACTTCCTGTGGTGATCAAAATCTTCTGTAATCCTGACTGGAATGTGGACTACACAAGTGAATGCATAGGTCAAAACTCAAATGTTCGCTTAGGATTTATGCATTTCACTTTATGTAACTATGTCAGTTTTTAAGAAGATACCAGAGAAAGTTCGATATGAGAAGGATGTGACAGGACCCCATAGCCCCAAATCAAGAAGTCTATTAGGGCCCCAAGTTGTTTGTCACTGTGTTAGTCACACTGACTTTGCAAGAGTAGAGAAACAATAGTCCTTAACAGGGAGATGCTTACCTCAGAGGCTGTAGAAGAGGAGGGAATGGAATCTAACCATTAAATAAATGATCCAGTCTTTTCCACTCTCTCCACACACATTTTGTAGGATTAATGTAAAGACTGAGGTGGTGGATAGAGAAAGGGATCTGAGAAGTTTTTCTAACACTGTTAAGTATTCATTTCTTCACCTATAAAGTTAGCGGTGACCATACTTGCCTTTTGTGTTGTGAGAACTTAAAATACTGTATCTAAAATGTCTGAATTTTAGTAAGGGCCAGATAAATGTTAGCATCTTTTTCCCCCAACTCAATCTTAAGTAACAAAGTAAGAGAATTTAAAGTCAAAGACCAAAAATATATTTGAATGTTTGTCATGGCATAATTAATAATAAGGTAAGATTACAAACAACCTACATGTCCAAAATTAGGTTAGTTAAGTAATTTGTGGTACACCTAAATGTATGAGGAAAATTATGCAGTCATTAAAAATATGTTAAAGAATTTTAATGGTAACAAAATGTCTATAATCTATTGTTAAAAAAGAAACATGTTGTAAATTATATGTGGTATGTCAATTCCAAAATTATATTCATGGAAAAAGTGTCTAAATTTCTCTGTATGCTAATGTGAAGTTTTGATTTCTTCATTTTATTTTCAAAATTTTCTAGAACTACCATACATTATTTAAAAGCAAAATTAATTTTTAACCACCTCAAAATGGATAAACCAAAAAAACCACATACATTCTTGAGACAGTAAATAAAAGCCCTTGGTAATCATTTATAAAGACTAAAACTCATTGTTAAAAAGAACAGCATTGGAACAGTAATTTATTTAAATAGGTTTGTGCATTCTACAATTATTGAGCACCAATTGTATGTCAGGTATTGTCAGATGATGTATAAAGATCATCACTATATTGACTTCATTTTTAAGAAATATTGGGGAAATTATGCTGCTGATGTATGTTAACAGGACATTTATGGGATTCCCCCTCACCCCCTCCACCACCACCCGGCAAGTGGAGCTTAAATATGACTTACTGGAGGAAGTGACACCCAGAGATGAGTTTTAATTTATTCCAGTTTTCTCTCTGGAAAATATTTATAGATGTCTGTTTTCTGCGTTTCAGCTGCAGTACAGAAATGGAGATCAGAAGGTAAAGTAGCAGTGTGGCTGCACATTCCCATTCTCCAAAGTCGATTCATTGCCCCTGCCGCTTCCCTGGGCTTCTGCTTTCACCACGCGGAGTCGGATTCATCTGTGCTGTCTCTGTGGCTGGGCGATGGGCCCAGCAGGTTACCAGGGTACGCTACACATCAAGTGGGAGTGGCAGGTCAGTCTCAGACTGAAGGTAATCAGAATCAACTGTTAGAGGGCTACCTCATTTCTTCTTCCAGCTGAAAGTGAAGTCGCTCAGTCGTGTCCGACTCTTTGCGACCCCATGGCCTATAGCCCGCCAGGCTCCTCCATCCATAGGATTTTCCAGGCAAGAACACTGGAGTGGGTTGTCATTCCCTTCACCAGGGGACCTTCCCGACCCAGGAATTGAACCTGGGTCTCCCACATTGCAGGCAGACTCTTTACCATCTGAGCCACACTTTATTCATGTGGAATGAATAATTTGATTAAATGATTATCTTCCTTCCAACTGGAGCTAGTGCTTTAAAGAGATGAAGTTTGCCTTATGAATCAGCAGAGGGCAGCACAGAGAACAAGCAAGTTTAGTTGTCCAAAGGATATGTTTGAACATGTTTTACACAGACATTTGAACTTCACTGCTGAAAGAGGAATAGTTAATTGAGATCCAGGAATAGATCATTTCATTATGGTACAGCATGTTAGTATGAATTGTGTGATTTAATAAAACTGTAAAGTTGAATTTAAGGTAAAGCAAACCAGTTTCTCAGTGATTTGAACATGACTTTTAAAAAAAATTTATTTACTTTTTAGATTCCATATATATGTGTTAGTAAGGAAAATTACAGTATTATGTTGGTTAGCCATTACTTCTTAAAGATATTTGACTTGAAGTCATTGTGCCAAACAGTTGTGTAAAATAGTATAATTTAAATAAAGAATTTTGAAGTCAGTGGTTAGCTTGAGTGCTTTGAGTTAAGACAGGAATTCTCAAATTGTGTGTGCACATGCTTACACACTTGTATCTGACTCTCTGACTCCATGGACTGTAGTCCGCCAGGCTCTTCTGTCCATGGAATTTTCCAGGTAAGACTATAGAGTACATCAAAATCACCTGGAGGAGTTGTTGAAGCAGATTGCTGGGCCCCAGCCTCAGGAGTTTTTAATTCATTTGATCTGAGGTGGGTCCCGAAAATTGCCATTCAAATAAATTCTCTGCTGCTGCAGCTGCTGGTATTGATGCTGGTTCTCTAGGATGACCCTTTGAGAACAAGGGTTAAGAAAACTCTCACGTTTTCAGAAAAATGAAAATAGGAAAGAATCCTTCTAATTTATTACAAGGCAGTAATGTGTATTGTAATTTATTAATAATAGCATCATTTGCCTTCATATAATTAGTAAGTTTTAAAAGGTAGTTCTCATCTTCATAGTCTTCTAAGGAGTTGTTCAAGGATTTCTAGTGTTTTCTCTGTCCACAGTCTCACTACCCTGTAGCAAATAGAGACAATTCAGCTTTCCATTCATCTCTGCTTCAAAAGACCCCTTGAAAATTTGATGACAGTCTTACACTGCTTAAGAAAGACATAATTATCAGTTCATTGGTACAGACTTTCAAGTTAGAGTTTCCAGTTAGTACTAGAGAATTGGTAATACATGCATAAAGAGTCACCTATGAAGAACTTGTTTATAACTAAGTACTATATATTATGGTTAAGATATGCCATAGGAGTTTAGGGGATGAGAGATCTGGAACTTGACCAGAGTTTTGAAGAATAACCAGGATTTGAAGTGGCCATAGGGGTCAGAAGATACTGTAAGACATTTTTCGAGAAAGATACAGTTTTTTAGATGAAGAGAAAATAGTTGACATTTTTTGTTAAAATCTACAAGATGTAGCTGGTTAAGGAAGTCAGAACATGCCACCCTCAAATATGCCAAAGTGAAGACAATTGAGAGGTAGCAGGAAGGGCTCTCTGCCTGACCCTTTCTACCTAAAAGCAGGGCATAAAATTTTTCTATCATAAAGAGGAGAACATTATCACCAGAGATGGGAAGTTGACATTGAGATAAATCTGTACAAACCTTATGAAATAACAGGTAAAAAAAGGTGTTAATCACTCAGTCGTGTCTGACTCTTTGCAACCCCATGAACTGTAGCCCTCCAGGTTCCTCTGTCCATAGAATCCTCCAGGCCTGAATACTGGGGTAGGTTGCCATTTCCTTCTCTAAGGGATCTTTCCAACCCAGGGATCGAACTGGTGTCTCCCGCAGTACAGACAGATTCTTAACCGTCAGTACAAACCTTACGAAAACAACCATTATATTCAGCTAGTTTCCCCATATAGTTAATTCCTCGGCACTTTTTTTTTTTTTTTTTTTTACCGTTTACCACCCCTAGAACAAAGCCCTCTTTCTTTTGTCATTTCTGCACAATTTTTCCCTCTTTCCTAGAATGGTATATAAGCCCCTGGGTCTAAACACTTTGAGGAGGTTTTCATTTCTGTGGAGACCTCCACCCGGGCCACATGGTAATATTAACACCAAATAAAATGTACATATTTCTTATCGATTAATCTGTCATATGTCAATTCAGCTCAGGTCTCAGACACAGAGCCGAAGTGAGTAAAGGGAAAAAAATCTTTCCTCCTCTACATTGCAGTGGAGTGAGCTATGGCTTTCCTACTGTCTTCAAACAGTAAGCTTCTATCTGCCTCAGAGCTTTTAAACCTGCTGGCTTCTCTTCCTGCAGTGCTCTTCCAGAGGGCTTTGTTGAGCTCTTTAGAGCTGAAATATCTCCTCAGAAAAGTTTCTGACCTTCCTGCATAAAATAGTCCTCCCACCTGCCAATCCCATCATCCTTTATCCAGCTCTTTTTTTTTTTTAATTTGGCCATGCCAGGTCTTAGTTGCAGTGTGCGAAGTCTTAGTTGTGGCATGTGGGATCTAGTTCCCCCACCAGGGATCAAACCCAAGCCCTCTGTATTGGGAGCATGGAGTCTTAGCCACTGTACCACCAGGGAAATTCCCAGCTCTGTTTTTGTTTGTAGAACTTATCACAATTTGAAATTATTATGTCCTTAATTGTCCCCACAGTAATGTGAAGTCCAAGAAGGCAAATATTTTATCTGTCTTGTTTACCTCTTAATCCTCAGATTAAACACAGTGTCAAGCTTCCCGGGTGGCACAGTGGTAAAGAATTTGCCTGCCAATGCAGGAGACACAGAAGACACAAGTTTGATTCTTGGGCCAGGAAGATACCCTGGAGAAGGGAATGGCAACCCAATCCAGTCTTCTTGCCTGGGGAATTCCATGCACAGAGAAGCCTGGCAGGCTGCAATCCATGGAGTTGCAAAGAGGTGGATACAACTGAGCATGCTTGCAAAAATACAGTGTCTAGTATAACCTAGGTCCTCAATAATTATTTCTTGAATGAATGGTTGGATAGATCTTCAAATGGTAATGTCAGCCTTCTGAAAAGGCAATTGTGTGGTGAAGGTACAGTATTGGACAGCGAGAGTACCTGCTTGTGACCCAGAAAGGACATCAGTTTTAAGGCTTTGAGAAGTTGGGCACTCAAAATTATACCACATACAGGATTTTTATGAAAAATAGTATAGTACCTGTCTAGTCATCGTAATATAATAATTGAATCCCTAATCTCTTTGGGTTTCAGTTCACTTTAGTCAGTCACTCAGTCATGTCTGACTCTCTATGACCCCATGAACTGCAGCATGCCAGGCCTGCCTGTCCATCCTCAACTCCCGGAGTTTACTCAAACTCATGTCCATTGAGTTAGTGATGGCATCCAACCATCTCATCCTCTGTCATCCCCTTTTCCTCCCACCATCCATCTTTCCCCAGCATCAGAGTCTTTTCAAATGAGTCAGCTCTTCACATCAGGTGGCCAAAGTATTGGAGTTTCAGCTTCAGCATCAGTCCTTCCAATGAATATTCAGGATTGATCTCCTTTAGGATGGACTGGTTGGATCTCCTTGCAGCCCAAGGGACTCTCAAGAGTCTTCTCCAACACCACAGTTCAAAAGCATCAGTTCTTGGACACTCCGCTTTCTTTGTGGTCCAACTCATATATGACTACTGGAAAAAACAAAGCTTTGATTAGACAGGCCTTTGTTGGCAAAGTAATGTCTCTGCTTTTTAATATGCTGTCTAGATTGGTCATAACTTTTCTTCCAAGGAGCAAATGTCTTTTAATTTCATAGCTGCAGTCACCATCTGCAGTGATTTTGGAGCCCCCCACCCCAAATAATCTGTCATTGTTTCCACTGTTTCCCTGTTTTCACTGTTTCTTTGGGTTTATTTCGCTTCTATGTTGTGACCAGCAGAGGTCGCTCACATTGTGTTTAACAGTGCTGTTTTTGGCTCATGTTTATAGTGAACTAGGGAAAAGTTCTGAAGAAGGCAATGGCACCCCACTCCAGTACTCTTGCCTGGAAAATCCCATGGCTGGAGGAGCCTGGTAGGCTGCAGTCCATGGGGTCTCGAAGAGTCGGACACAGCTAGCTGAGCAACTTCACTTTCACTTTTCACTTTTATTCATTGGAGTAGGAAATGGCAGCCCACTGCAATATTCTTGCCTGGAGAATCCCAGGGATGGGGGAGCCTGGTAGGCTGCCGTCTGTGGGGTCGCACAGAGTCAGACACGACTGAAGCGACTTAGCAGCAGCAGCAGGGAAAAGTTTGATTTGTGTAATGACAAACTATCAAAAATTAAGAGTAGATTTTCTTGGTATTTCTTTGGCATTCAACTCATGTAAAGTCCAGTTAAATTATTTGTTTTTGTTGTTAAGTTGCTAAGATATTTCCATCTCTTTGTAACGCCATGGACTAGAGCACTCCACGCCTCCCTGTCCTTCACTGTCTCCCGGAGTTTGCCCAAACTCATGTCCATTGAGTCAGTGATGTCATCCAGCCATCTCATCCTCTGTCACCCCCTTCTCCTCCTGCCCTCAATCTTTCCCAGCATCCAGGGTCTTTTCCAATGAGTTGGCTGTTTGTATCAGCTGGCCAGAATATTGGAGCTTCAGCCTCAGTCTGTCCAATGAGTATTCAGGGTTAATCTCCTTTAGGATTGACTGGTTTGATCTCCTTGCTGTCCAAGGGACTGTGAGGGTCTTTTCCAGCACTACAGTTCAAAAGCATCAATTCTTTGGTGTTGAGCCTTCTTTGTGGTCCAACGCTGACACCTGTACATGACTATTGGAAAAAACCATAGCTTTGACCATACAGACTTTTGTCAGCAAAGTGATGTCTCTGCTTTTTATATGCTCAGTTTGTATAGCTTTCTTCCAAGGAGCAAGCATCTTTTAATTTCATGCCTATAGTTGCCATCAACAGTGATTTTGAAGCCCAAGAAAATAAAATCTGCCACTGTTTCTACTTTCTTCCCAGCTGTTTGCCATGAAGTTATGGGACGGGATGCCATGATCTTAGTTTTTTGAATGTTGAGTTTTAAACCAGCTTTTTCACACTCCTCTTGCATGCTCCTCAAGAGGCTCTTTAGCTCTTCACTGTCTGCCATTAAACTGGTATCATATGCATATCTGAGGTTGTTGATATTTCACCCTCAATCTTAGATTCCAGCTTGTGCTTCATCCAGCCTGGCATTTCACATGATGTACACTGTATATAAGTTAAATAAGCAGGGTGACAGTATATAGCCTTGACATACTCCTTTCCCCATTTTGAACCAGTCCATTGTTCCATGTCCAGTTCTAACTGTTGTTTCTTGACGTGCATACAGATTTCTCAGGAGGCAGGTTAGGTGGTCTGGCATTCCCATCTCTTTAAGGATTTTCCACAGTTTGTTGTGATCTACACAGTCAAGGGCTTTACCGTAGTCAGTGAAGCAGAAGTAGATGCTTTTCTGGAATTCCCTTTTTCTATGATCCAGTGGATTTTGGCAATTTGATCGCTGGTTCTGCTGCCTTTTCTAAATCCACCTTGTACATATGGAAGTTTTCAGTTCACATACTGTTGAAGCTTAGCCTGAAAGATTTTGAGCATTACCTTGCTAGGATGTGAAATGAGTGAAATTGTACGGTGGTTTGAACATTCTTTGGCATTGCTCTTCTTTGGGATTGGAGTGAAACTGACCTTTTCTTGTCCTGTGGCCACTGCTGTTTTCCAAATATGCTGGCATGTTGAGTGCAGCACTTTAACAGCATCATCTCTTAGGATTTTAAATAGCTCATCTGGAATTCCATCACTTCTACTAGCTTTGTTTGTCGTAATGCTTCCTAGGGCCCACTCAACCAATTATAGTTTATATTTTCTAATAGAAGCCAACATTAATGTTAATTATCTCACTTTGTGGTTTGCTTTCTTGACTTTGAAGTGCTAAAATGGGATGTTTAAATTTCAGAGAAAATTCTTCTTCCATTTGTTGCATATATCTATCCCCTACTGTATTTGTAATATTTATTACCACCTCACTGATGTGACTTAGCAGCAGCAGCAGCATGTTCTATGTGAGCTTCCCAGGTGGTGCAGCGGTAAAGAATTCGCCTGCCAGGCAGGAGACACAGGAGATTTGGGTTCAATCCCTGGATCAGGAAGATCCTCTGGAGTAGGAAATGGCAACTGACTCCAGTATCCTTCCCTGGATAATTGCATGGACAGAAGTGCCTGGTGGGCTACAGTCCATGGGATTGCAGAGTCGTACACGACCAAATGACTACCATCACCAGGTGGCGCTGGTGGTAAGTAATTCACCTGCCAATGCAGGAGAAGTAACAGAGGTTCTATCCCTGGGTGGGAAAGATCCCCTGGAGTAGGAAATGGCAGCCCACTTCAGTATTCTTGCCTGGAGAATCCCAGGGACAGAGGAGCCCGGTGGCTACAGTCCATAGGGTCCCAAAGAATCAGACACTTCTGAATCAGCTTAGCTTGCACACATGTTCTACATAATTTATTTTTCATTTGTAACCTTCTCGTACCAGCCTCAGAACAAGAGCCTCATAATGATAGGGCATTTTGTTCACCACTGTATCCTTGTGGTTCAGTTGCTAGGTTGTGTCTGATTCTTTGAGACTGTATCCTTAGCAGTTGGAAAAGTGCCTGACACAAAAAAAGGATCTCAATTCATACACTATAAATATAGAACCTACATGTAGTCTAATATAGGAGCTCAATTAATATTGAATGAATGAATAGAAAATATATTTTTAACAATATCTTCCCACATTATGTAAATACAAATAATGTTTAAATTATAGCCTTTAAAGAGAATGCAGATCTTTACGTGAAAGTTGCTCAGTAGTGTCTGACTCTGTGACCCCGTGGACTATAGTCTGTGGAATTCTCCAGGCCAGAATACTGGAGTGGGCAGCCTTTCCCTTCTCTAGGGGATCTTCCCAACCTAGGGATCAAACCCAGGTCTCCCGCATTGCAGGCAGATTCTTTACCAGCTGAGCCACAAGGGAAGCCCAAGAATACTGGAGTGGGTAGTCTATCCCTTCTCCAGCGGATCTTCCCGACCCAAGAATCGAACCTGGGCCTCCTGCATTATTGCAGGTGGATTCTTTACCAACTGAGCTATCAGGGAAGCTCTGGATCATTAAAATGTCATTTTATTTTTGACCTAGCATTACCCAAGGAGAGAAACTAATTTTTGTGTCCCTAATATCTAGCAAAATGCCTAGTGTGCTGGGCAGTGTATATGTTGAATGAATAAATCAAAGAAATGGTCTAGAACTTTAAAAGTATAAACCGTTGATTAAAACGTATTCTGTAGCAACATATTGGTAAGTTAGAAAGTTGTGTGCATAATGTGATAAGGGAATTTAAGTGACTTTAAGGAAGAAGTCTTGAACTAAATGTTCAGATATTTGAGATTTGGATCATGTTTATATATAGTGATTCAAGGAATAAATATCAAAATGGAAAAATCAATCCATTGATTCAGTGGATATTTTTAAGCACTTAAAATTGGACACTAAATGCTTAATAGAAAGAGTATTTTAACTGTATCATCAGGAATAGATGATCTAGAGAAGGAGATAGAAATGATTATTCTGTAAGGTAGCATATGCTAGAACCATCGTTGTTACTTTCAGCCATTAAAAGACCCAAGATAACTGAGCAACTGGTTTCTTACTGAAGTTAACTCTTAATGGATGAGGTGGTTATTTGAACTAAGCCTTCAGATGATCACAGGTAATAGTGTGGGAGTAATCTGAGGTGAAGGAAATTCATATTTCTCGATTATCTTCTTCCCCCAACAGGAGCTGTATTTGATGAAAATACTGGAAAAATACTGGTCGTCCAAGATCGAAATAAAGTAAGTTGCTTCTTCTTTATAGTTGCTTTCTAAATGTTTACTTCTGTGTAGAGAAAAATAATGTGTGCAAGCTTTGATTTCCTTAAAAAATTATAGATTTTTTTATTTACTGCAGTCAGCATTTTTATTGACATGTGGTTGATTTACAGTGTGTTAATTTCTGCTGTGTAGCAGTGATTCAATTATACATATATACATTTCTTTTATAATAGTCTATTCCATTAAAGTTTATCAAAGGATACTGAGTATAGTTCCTTGTGCTATAAAGTAGAACCTAGTTGTTTATGCATTCTATGTATAAAAGCGTACATCTGCTAACCCCAACCTCCATCTCTCCATCTCTCCCCCAACCGCCTCCCCGTGGCAACCACCAGTTTGTTCTGTATGTCCATGATTCTGTTTCAGTTTCATAGATCAGTTTGTATCATATTTTAGAATCCACGTGTGAATGATATCATGTAGTAATTATCTTCCTGACTTTACATAGTGTGATAATCTCTAGTTCCATTCATGTTGCTTCAAGTAGCATTATTTCATTCTTTTCTCCCCAAAGATTATTTAATCTTTTGACGGTGGTGGATCTTCATTGCTGCATGCAGGCTTTCTTCAGTTGTTCTGAGCACGGGCTACTTTGCATTGTAGCATGCAGCCTTCTCATTGAGGGGGCTTGTCTCGTTACAGAGCACAGGTCCAGGTGCTCAGGCGTCAGTAGTTGTAGCATGTTGCAGCTTGCAGGCTCCAGAGTGCTGGCTCATTACTGTTCCACACGGGCTCAGCAGCTCCACAGCATATGGGACCCTTCTGTACCAGAGGTCAAACCAGTGTCCCTTGCATTGCAAGGCAGATTCTTAACCACTGGACAACCACAGAAGCCCTGTCTTGTTCTTTTCTTATGGATGAGTAGTATTCTATTATGTGTATATATATGTACCACATCTTTTTACAGGTTTTTCTATTAAATGGTAGCTTTGGTGATACAGAATTCTATTATATTTTCTGTTGACCAATCATGATACAATGGTATTGAGTGAGTAATAGTTACATAATCACACCTGTAAAATATTTTGATCAGTTTTCACAGTCAATAGCCAGACAAAAAATAAAAGATAATTACAATTGCAAGCCATAATGGGAACATGATTAATCTTACAATAGAATAATTACATACAGTTTGGGGGGTGTCAAAGTGATGTGGTAAGTGAAAGTGCATACATGCACATGTTTTCATTGACCCAGCCAGTGTATGTCTTTTGTTTGATACATTTAATCCATTTACCTTTAAGGTAATTATTGATATATATGATCCTATTACCATTTTCTTAATTGTTTTGGGTTTATTTTCTGTAGGTCTTTTCCTTCTCTTCTGTTTACTGCCTAGAAAGTTCCTTTAACATTTATGGTAAAGCTGGTTTGGTGGTGCTGAATTCTCTTAACTTGTCTGGAAAGCTTGATTTCTCCATCAAATCTAAGTGAGAGTCTTGAATTCTTTTTCTGGAAGGTTGCCTATCTCCACTTCATTTAGTTGTTTTTAGGGGGCTTTTATCTTGTCCCTTTCTCTGGGACATAAATTTCTGCTTTTTCATCCTGATTAACTTTCTTTAATATGGTTTTTGTTCTAGCCCCCATGAACTGTGGTTCTTGCTTCTTCTGTCTTGCTCTGGTGGGTAGGGCCTTGTTTGTAAATCTTTTATCCAATTATCTGCTGATGGGTGGGGTTTTGCTCCCTCCTTGTTGGGTGGGGTTGTGCTCCCTCCTTGTTAGTTGTTTGGCCTGAGGAGACCCAGCCCTGGGGTCTAAGGGCTCTGTTTTTGCTGCTGTTCGGTTGCCCAGTTCTGTCCGACTCTTTGCCACCCCATGAACTGCAGCAGGCCAGGCCTCCCTGTCCCACACCATCTCCCAGAGTTTGCCCAAGTTCATGTCCATTGCATCAGTGGTGCCATCCAGCCATCTCATCCTCTGACGCCTTCTGCCTTCAGTCTTTCCCAGCATCCAAGGTCTTTTCCAGTGAGTCGACTGTTTGCATCAGGTGACCAAAATATTGTAGCTTCAGCATCAGTCCTTCCAGTGAATATTCAGGGTTGATTTCCTTTAAGACAGACTGGTTTGATCTTCTTGCTGTCCAAGGGACTCTCAAGAGTCTTCAGCACCACAGTTCAAAGGCATCAATTCTTCTGCACTCTGCCTTCTCTATGGTCCAACTCTCACAACCATATATGATCATTGGAAAGACTATAACCGTAACTATATGGACCTTTGTCAGCAAAGTGATATCTTTGCTTTTCAACACACTATCTAGGCTTGTCATACCTTTGATGCCAAGAGCATTTGTCTTCTGATTTCATGACTGCAGTCCCCATCCACAGTGATTTTAGAGCCCAAGAAGAGGATGTCTGTTACTTCTTCCATCCTTTCCCCTTCTACTTGCCATGAAGTGATGGGGCCAGATGTCATGATCTTAGTTTTTTTAGTATTTACTTTTAAGCCGGCTTTTTCCATTTCCTCCTTCACCTCATCAAGAGGTTCTTTAGTTCCTCTTTGCTTTCTGCCGTTAAGAGTGGTATCATCTGCATACATGAGGTTGTTGATGTTTCTCCTGCCAATCTTGACTCTGGGTTGTAACATCCAGCCTGGCATTTCCCATGATGTGCTCTGTGTATAAGTTAAATAAACAGGGTGACAACAGACAGCCTTGTCACACTCCTTTCTCAATCCTGAACCAGCCAGTTGTTCCATACACGGTTCTAACTGTTGCTTCTTGACTTGCATACATGTTTCTCAGGAGAGAGGTAAGAGGTCTAATATTCCCATCTCTTTGAGATTTTTCCACTGTTTGTTATGATCCACACAGTACAAGGCTTTAGTGTAGTTAATGAAACATGTAGATGTTTTTCTGGGAATTCCTTTGCTTTCTCTATGATCCAGCAAATGTTGGCAATTTGATTTCTGGTTCCTCTGCCTTTTCTAAACCCAGCTTGGATATCTGGAAGTTCTTGGTTCATGTAATGCTGCAGCATACTATGCAAGATTTTAAGCATGATCTTAAATGGCAACCCACTCCAGTATTCTTGCCTTGAAAATCCTGTGGACAGAGGAGCCTGGCAGGCTACAGTTCATGGGGTTGCAAAGAGTCAGACATGACTGAGCGATTTGACTTTGCCTTACTTTCCTAGCATGGGAAATGAGTACAATTGTCCAGTGGTTTGAACATTCTTTAGTACTGTCCTTCTTGGGATTGGGATGAGGATTGACCTTTTCCAGTCCTATAGCCACTGCTAAGTCTTCCAGATTTGTGGACATGTTGAGTGCAGCACTTTGATAGCATTATCTTTGGGGGTTTTAAATAGCTCTACTGGAATTCCATCACATCCACTAACTTGATTGACAGCAGTGCTTTTTAAGGCCCACTTGACTTCACACTCCAGAATGTCTGGCTCTGGATGAGTAACCATACCATTGTGGTTATCTGGTTAATTAGGTCTTTTTTTGTACAGTTCTTCATGCATTCTTTCCATCTCTTCTTAATCTCTTTGACTTCTACTAGGTTGCTGTTGTTTCTGTCCTTTATTGTGCCCATCTTTGGATGAATTCTTCCCTTGATATTTCCAGTTTTCCTGAAGCTCTAGTCTTTCTCATTCTGTTGTTTTTCTGTTTTTCTTTGCATCATTCATTGAAGAAGGGCTTCTTGTCTCTCCTTGCTGTTCTCTGGAACTCTGCGTTTAGCTGGATGTACTGTTCCCTTTCTCCCTTGCTTTTCACTTTTCCTCTTCAGATAATCATTTTGCCTACTTGTTGGGGTGAGTTTGTTCACTGCCTTCTGTACTATATTACAGACCTCTGTCCATAGTTCTTCAGGCATACTGTTTACTGGTTCTAATCCCTTGAATCTATTCATCACCTCCACTGCATATTCATAGGGGATTTAAGTCATATCTGGCTAGCCTGGTGCTTTTCCCTGCTTTCTATAGTTTAAGACTGAATTTTGCTTTGAGAAGCTGATCTGAGCCACAGTCAGCTCCAGGTCTTGATTTTGCTGACTCTAAAGAGCTTCTCCCAGAGAATGCAATGGCACCCCAGTCGAGTACTCTTGCCTGGAAAATCCCATGGACGGAGAAGCCTGGTAGGCTGTGGTCCATGGGGTCACTAAGAGTCGGACACGACTGAGCAACTTCACTTTCACTTTTTACTTTCCTGCATTGGAGAAAGAAATGGCCACCCACTCCAGTGTTCTTGCCTGGAGAATCCCAGGGACGGGAGAGCCTGGTGGGCTGCCGTCTATGGGGCCGCACAGAGTCGGACACGACTGAAGTGATTTAGCAGCAGTAGCAGCAGCAAAGAGCTTCTCCATCTTCGGCTACAAAGAATGTAATCAATTTGATTTCAGTATTGACCCTTTGGTGATGTCTATTTGTAAAGTCGTCACTTATATTGTTGCAAAAGGATGTTTGCTATGATCAGTGCATTCTCTTGGCAGAATTCAGTTAGCCTTTGCCCCGCTTCATTTTGTGCTCCAAGACCAAACTTGCGTGTTACTCCAGGTATCTTGGCTTCCTAGTTTTGCATTCCAATCCCCAGTGATGAATAGAACATGTTTTTTTGGTGTTAGTTCTAGGAGATCTTCTAGGTCTTCAAGGAACTGATCAACTTCAGCTTCTTTGGCATTGGTGGTAGGGGCATAGACTTGAATTACTGTGATGTTGAATGGCTTGCCTTGGAAACAAACCCAGATCATTCTGTGGTTATTGAGGTTGCACCCAAGGATGGCATTTCAGATTCTTTTGTTGATTATGAGGACTGCTCCATTTCTTCTAAGGGATTCTTGCCCACAGTAGTCGATACAGTGTCTTCTGGATTAAATTCGTCCATTCCCGTCCATTTTAGTTCATGGATTCCTAAGATGTCGGTGTTTACTCTAGCCATCTCCTGCTTGACCATGTCCAATTTACCTTGATTCATGGACCTAATATTCCAGGTTCCTATGCAATACTGTTCTTTGCAGCATC